CCCCCCCCCCCCCCCCCCCCCCCCCCCCTTCTCTGACAGACACGCCTGCACAATGCACACAACACAGTTCAAGATAGGCCACACATTTCTGTTCTGTTGGGTGTCCTAGTCTTGTCATTTTCGTGTTTTCCAAGGAGAAAGCCAAAAAAAACATTACAATGTGATTGTAAAATTTATAATTTTTTGTAGATATATTTATACATTTAAGGGTTACTTTATAACTAAAAAAATTTATACCTTTTGAATTTATATTATAATATTTGTGATTTAAGTTATAATTTTTGTAAGTCATATACAATTTTTGTGTGCTACTTGAGACCGATCTTAAAAATTTTAGAATTAATTCCCAATAACTTCCAAAAACTAAAAATGACTTATAAAATTTTTAAATGACTAACAAAAGTTATAAAAGATTTACTAAATCTATAAATAATCTTCAAAATTTATAAATAACTTTCAAAGTTTATAAAATTAACTATAAAACTCGTAATAATAAAAAAAAAAAAAAAAAAAAAAATTGGTACAGAAGCAAAAGCACAAATCCTTGTATAAATATCCAAGGCCTTCGCAACCTCACATATAGCTCCAAGTGACTTCGATGTTCCAACGCCAATGCAAGTTACACAAGCTTTCACAGGAGCACTCCAACAAACAAACAAAAAACCTTAAGTGCAACCCGTATGGGGAACTGTCGTCTCCTACTCGTTACCTTTCCAAATCAAGGTCACATTAATCCATCCTTACAATTCGCGAAGCGCCTCGCCGGAATGGGTATCAAGGTCACCTTCTCAACCAGCATCTCCGCCATTCGCCAAATGGCCAAAGCCACATCAAAACCAGAAGGATTAACCTTCGTCGCCTTCTCCGATGGCCATGACAATCGGTTTTGCAGCTAGTGTCGATATGGAAGCATTCATATGTGATCTGAGGAGATGTAGTTCCAAAGCGGTGGCAGAACTCATCACCGCCGCTGCCGCCGAAGGCAACCCATTTACTCATATGGTGTACACCACCCTTATGCCATGGGTTGGACAGGTGGCGCGTGGACTTCACATTCCGGCCACACTTCTTTGGGCTCAACCAGCAATTATTTTGGATATTTACTACTATTACTTCAATGGGTACGCTGACCCCATACGAAACACTAGCAATGATCCCTCATTTTCCGTTGAATTACCAGGGCTGCCACCTCTTGCTAGTTCTGATCTTCCTTCTTTTTTTCTCCCTTCAAATCCAAACGTATATAATTTTGTACTCCAATTGTTTGAGGAGCATTTAGAGGTACTTGTTGAAGAAACAAACCCAAAAGTACTCGTAAACAGCTTTGATGCCTTGGAATCTGAGGCCCTGAGAGCTATTGAGAAGTTTAAATTCAAGGCAATAGGACCATTAATCCCATCAGCTTTCTTGGATGGAAAAGACCCATCAGACACTTCCTTCGGTGGCGATCTCTTCCAAAAATCAAGAGATTATGTTGAATGGTTGAACTCAAAACCCAAATCATCTGTGGTTTATGTATCGTTTGGAAGCTTGTCCGTGTTCTCAAAGCAACAAATGGAAGAGATTGCAAGTGCTTTGCTAGAAAGCCATCAACCATTTTTGTGGGTGATTAGAGGAACTGGTAATGATGAAAAACAAGAAGAAAAGTTGAGTCGCAGCGCAGAATTAGAAGAAGAGGGGATGATAGTGCCATGGTGCTCTCAAGTGGAAGTTCTTTCACACCCATCGGTGGGGTGTTTCGTGACACATTGTGGGTGGAATTCTACGGTGGAGAGCTTGGTTTCTGGTGTGCCGGTGGTGGCGTTTCCGCAGTGGACCGATCAAATGACCAATGCCAAGCATATTGAAGATGTTTGGAAGACGGGGGTGAGGGTGGCGGACAGTGGAGGTGTAGTCGGAAGTGGTGAGATAAAGAAATGCATATAGCTAGTGATGGGAGGTGAAGATAGAGGCAAAGAGATGAGAGAGAATGCTAAGAAATGGAAGGATTTGGCGAGGGAAGCAGTGAAAGAAGGTGGATCCTCGGACATAAATCTGAGGGCATTTGTGGACCAGATTGAGTGTGCTGGTCATTAAAATTGTTATCCGTATGCCACATTCCTAAGTATGCCTTTTGTTTATTATTTTTAAGGGATATTATGCTAGTAATTTTTTTTTTATTGCAAGACAAAGTACAAGGTTTGATTAGATCGGAAGTCCCCACCAAGACAAAAAACATAACAGTTGTCACTTGGCTGAAAAAAACCCTCGAGAGGAGGTTAAAAGGGAGAAATATGTGTTTTAATTAGATCCAAATATAATTAAAAATAAATATCAATTTACCAAATTTTATTACACATGAAATTAAGAAGATTAAGCTTGGGTTAAAATGCTCGACCATTGTTTAATTTGAGATAGTGGTAGATTTTACACCCAATAAAATATTAAACTTGGGTTAAAATGCAGATTAAGTCACTCTTTTTAAGACGATTCGCGTCTATATTTGGTGTAACATATTACAACACGTCGCCTCCAAGATACAACAATTCAGCTATATCTCTTGTCGTAGCTTCACTCTAGTCTACACAACTAAGGAAGAAGAAGCTTCGCACACACTTTTTTTGGTCCATAAAATCATATTGCAAAAAGACTTTTGGAGAAAGACAATATAAACATATAATTGTTATATTTTTGTACTATACTTGAAATGGGTCATAAGTCTCTCTATATAGGCTTGAAAGAGTTACCTTAGACACTCATTAAGTATAAACTTTATAACTTAAAACCTAATTTAATTAGTCATATAATTGTCATAATGAATATAAATATTATATAATTTATGGACCACTAATTGTCACAATAAATTGGTGTTAAACCCATTTATCATTGTCATTATATATATACTAATTTCAAGAGTTTGTAACTCATGGGCCTATCTTGTACTATATATAAAAGTGTGTAAAGATGAAATTTTTTTTATTTTCCTATGTTGTCCTGAATTCATACCTTAAATCCAATTTTACCCTTTAACTCAAATGGCATACAAAGCGTTCAGTCTTCAGACCCTACGAATTCGTACAAGTTACAACAGATATTCCACCAATTGTTAGCATTTGAACCTTACCTTCACTATTAAGAGTGAAAATTCCAACAATCGTTTTTGGGTAGTCAAAGACAACCTTGGTTATTCCTGCTTTTGTTTTCTTGGTAAAGATTTTGCTCCTATAGCGACATTGCCTGATTCTTGCAATCTCCCTTCCAATATCAGGTCCTCTTCAAAATGCATGTATTTTTTCTATTCATATGTTGGGAGTTTGTCTTTCCCTTTTTTTTTCCTCTTGCAATTGACAATGATCCCTTTGGTCTATTATGCTGCAAATATCAGAGATTTGATTTTTAAGGCTTTATCTTCCTTATTGATTTCTATTTTCTACGCACATTCTGTTTCACCACGTGCCAATGAACCCATCTTTGATTCTTTTTGAATTGGTTGCATACATTCTTATTATGAATATGCATATATGATACTATACTGAAGTTATCCAGTGATTGAGTTGCAGTGAATCTGATCTATTGCCAAATGTATCGACAGTTTTTTGACATAATATTTTGGGTATTCTTCAGTTTGCAATCAAATTTGAGTTGGATTTTCTATCTTTCTTGTTTCAGAGAGCTTCAAGATTTGATCTCTGTGGAGATTTATGGCTCACTCGTCAAACCATAGGTTTAGTCCTCGGGTTGGAAAACCTGATGGCCAAGGCAAGTAAGCAATCTTTTCTTAAGCATCTGCCAAAATGCTAATTAATTATTACAATATTACTGTTATATTTAATTTCTCATTGTGATTCTGTGCGGATGTGATGAACAATCTCACTATCATTGTGAGGTTTGAGACCATGGAAGCTTTGGCTGATGTGAGCGTAAAATTGCTAGAAAACTGGAGAGGAATTAATCCATGATTGATTCACCTGGTTTTTTTCTTTTGTTGTGTTCAAATTTTATATTTTTATTATAACTGTTTTATTTTTTCTTTGGATTAATTACAAAATACCTCTTTGAAGTATGAATCTTGTTTCAATCAAATTCTTCTGGTTTAAAATTGAAAAAGACTGACGGAGATGACTGAGTAGGTGAAATTTCAAAACTATCCTTCACCCTGGTTGATGTATTGGCTCCAAATATTTAACCATGGTTAGGTAATCACTTATCATATAAATAGAACTCTAACCCAAATTTAACTCTGTTTATTTTTTTCTAAGATGCTTCTTGTTGGACACGATCTGAGCGAAGAAAGCAACGACATGAAGGGGATTGAAGGTTATAGTGCATGAACCATGTAGGCATTTTGTGTTGATTGAGCTCGAATGTTCGGTTGTAGGTAAATCCGCTTGAGCTCGAAAGTTCGATTGAAGGTAATAGTAACGATGCAATAAAGGTTTGTGGGCATCTTGTGCTGATTGAGCTCGAATGTTCGATTGAACGACGAATCCGGCTAATTTATCTTGTGTTGAAGCTTTTTGTTTTACATTTTGGGTTCATTGCCTGACATTGTTAGAACCATGTGATTTCTTTTGGTTTTTCAGCTTTTTGTTTTGCCTTTGATTCCTTGTCTGGCATTTTGGAAACCATGTACTAAGACTTATTTTTGTTCACCTTTATGGCAGTATCACTATCTGTGGTCCCCTATTAAAAAATTTTCACTATGTTTGAGCTTAAAGATCAAATATTTTAGCTCACGTTTAAGGCATCATCAAGGTTGGTGGTCCCCCATTAAACAAATTTACTAAGTTTTTGTTGTTTTGTGCGAATGGAAACAAGTTACTTAACTCTTGAGTTTCAACATGGAATTGTCTCTTTTAGTCCTGTTTTAATATACAATGGAGGTAAAATTAACAGGTTTGGCAACATTGACCTAGATTTGATGTCTCAAATTGAGGTAGATGACATGGTTGAAACTCTAGGTTAGAAGAAAGATACAGGATACACAGTCTACTATATGCTACCAGATGCAGATAGTGAAGATAGTTTAAGGCAATTGGCTTCGGATAACAATGTACTGAACCTGTTTGCATGTTATGAGGGGAATGATATTATTAGGTTGTATGTAGTCACTGAGCAGATTAATGAAGGTAGTAAAGGTATATCTACTGTTGGAGATAAATTTGATACTCCTACCTTTGATTATGAATTCAGTACTGAGTATGGTTCCACTTTTTGTGATGGTTTGCCTGATACAGTGGTAAGATTTGTTGACTTATCTAATGATTTATCAGATTTGGACTTCTTGTACTTTTATGATGGTGTGCCTGATGGGGTACATTCTTCTGGTCTTGAAAATAGAAGTAGGGTTGACAAGAGAAAGTCAAAAATTGGAGAGGAATGTTCTGGTGTTGAGAGGGGGAATAGTTTTGATAAGGGCAAGGCCAAATTAAATGATTGCTTGTCTGATGAGGACAATGATCATCTATATAGTCCCCTTAACTCAGACGACGATGTAATACAAGTGAAGTATCAAGAATTCATGGAGACCACTGATATGTCTAATCCTAAATTGACACTGGGAATGATCTTTAGTTCAGCTACCATATTTAGGATGGCACTTAGACAACATGCTATTATGGATGGGTTTGACTTCAAATACCTTAGGAATAATGGCGATAGTCTTGTGGTTGGTGTATCCATGCTTCACTCATGCAGGATAAGTTAATTTTTCAAATAAAAAACTTCAAGCCAACACACAATGATGCACGTACCTATCAGAATAAGAAAGCAATTGCGTCTTGGTTAGCAATGAAATATGTTGAGAAACTGAGAGATGATCCAGATTGGAAAGTCAGTGCAATGGTAAGAAGAAACAACCCTAATAGTGTTCTTTTGTTGAAAGTTGAAAGGTTAAGCTTAGAGATTTTACCTGTTTTTCAAAGACTGTTTGTGTGTTTAAGTGCTATGAGAGATGGATTTGTGGTAGGATGTAGACCAATGATAGGTTTAGATGGTTGTCACCTAAAGGATCCATATGGTGGACAAATGTTGCATGCGGTGGGGAAGGATGGTAATTGGGGGATGTGTCCAATAACATTTGCAGTGGTTGAGGCTGAAACTAAAGACTTTTTGACTTGGTTTTTAACTCACTTAACTGAGGCTATTGGTACTTCATCTGATAGAGGGTGGACATTCATTTCAGATAGGCAAAAGGTATGCAATTTTCATTTCACTTATACTTTTTCCATTGATGTGTATAACATAGTGCCCTATAACTAACTTCTGATTTATGCATTGTTTTCACTAGAGATTGATTGAGAGTTTTAATACTGTGATGGCAGGAGCAGATCATAGATTTTTCTTAAGGCATATGTATGCCAATTTCAAGGACAAAGGTTTCAAAGCTAAGGCTTTGAAAAGTACAATGTGGGCAGCAGCTTCAGCAGTTACAGTTCCTGAGTTTGAGGAATGCATGAAAGAAATCATGATGTTAGATGAAAAGACTTACTAGTATTTGAGGGGCATAAACCCAACATTGTGGTCCAAGTCTTTGTTTAGTATACATCCCAAGACTGACACACTATGCAACAATGTATCAGAGTCATTCAACAAATTGATCATGCAAGAGACAAGCCAATTTTCACCATGGTTGAGATGATAAGAAAAAAATTCATGAAAAGGTTACAAGAGAAAAGAGAAAGCTTGATGCATCACACCGGTTTTTTATGACCTACAATTCAGAAGAAGTTAGATGCACAAAAAGAAAAGGCAAGGCATTGCATAACAATTTGGGCTGGACAAGGAGAGTATGAAGTTGAGTGCTTTGGTAAGACTTGTGTGGTAAATCTGGAAAATCGAAGTTGGACATGTAGAAGATGGGATTTACTGGCATTCCATGTGGACATGCAGTGTCAGCCATCTCATTTCATAAAGGAAAAGCTGAATATTATGTGGATGTTTTCTACCACACTGAGACGTATATGAGAGCTTACTCCCAAATCAAACACCCAATTCCTGATAGGAGCCAATGGGTGTCATTGGGAATGGATGTGATCAACCCACCATTGTGGAGAAGACAGCCAGGAAGACCTAAGAAGTTAAGGAAGAATCAAGCTGATGAGGTAAAGAACCCATATATCATACGAAAGAAACAAAATTCTCTTCAATGGTAGTGGACTTCCACCTCCCATTGGGTCTGCAATTGGGCTTAGGGGGTTAACAATTATCAAGAGTTTGGAATGTACTGGTTCGGGAAGTCCCAAAGGCATTGGGATGCTTGCAAGGTCAAAGATGAAGAAGAATGACAAGAATCCCAGTGATGAAAATGGGAAAGGCAGCTCTAAGGGAGGTGAGTGGAGCATGTTTTGACTTTGCACTATGTTGGTGTTGTTAGCACACTTTTTTGTTTTGGAGTGCATTGCACTTTAGTGTTGTTTAGAAATCAACCCATCTTTTGGGTCTTGTTAGGCATGTAATGACCTAATGTATCCTCCAACACAGTGATGTGCTTTTACTTAGTATGTAATGAAATGGATGTTGCATTCTACTATTTCAATAGATCTTGCATTTCACATATTGCGTTTGTTACATGACCAATGAATACATAGTTGTTTCTAGTCGCTATACATCATGAGATAAACAACTATGAATACAATAATGATTGCATATATTATCTTCTCCTTCCTTCTTAAGTATTTAATCTCGTTCTCAAGATTTGTCATCTTGCGCATGAAACCAACTATGATATTTCTTTCCCTGTCTATCATCTTAGGTTCATACCAGTCAAAATATTTGCAAGATGACTTTCTCTACCCTTTACAAAGTAAAGGTTATATCAACATAGCAATTGGAGGAAACATGAAAAAAATAGTTGATAAAGAAGTACCACTGTCTTGTAGTTGACAGCTATAAAATCTTCTTCCTGAGTTGTTTTCTGTCCATGATGTCTTCACTATGCATTTTAGTCCACATAAACACTCTTTCTCACTTTCTCCATGTACTGATGATTGGCTTGAATCCAATTTTTGGTGTAAGCACAGTAGCAAAATGTATAATATTGTGGGTTGGTGTGTATTTGCGTGGGGAGAGAGAGAGAGAGAGTCAAAAAAGTATTGCTTTTAGTGGAGCCAAAAAAAAACAGGTACAAAGAAAGAGGAAGGCTAACAGCAGTCATGGCCATGAATGAGAAATTTGCTTCAGTTAAATAAGACATCTCCAACAGTTGGGAAGGGTGTTTTTGTCATTTTTGACCTCATAAGGGTAGAATGGTCTCAAATGGTTTTGTATTTTTCTTTGGTAGATGAATTTTAAATGTTACCGTCACTTTTGACAGATGCCAGTTAATTTGTCGGTGTTTTCGCTCATTCTGAAATTTGAAGGGGCAAATTGTTCAATTTTAAACCAGAGAGATCTAATTGAAACAAGATCCATAGTTCAAGGGGCATTTTGTAATTAACCCTTTTTCTTTAATATTAAATAGTTGGATTCCTTGTCCACCATTGTTTTACTTCTCTTTCTATTAATAAAAATTTCATATCTTATGAGAAACAAAACTTAGATATTAGGTGATTAAGCAGCCCAAAATTAGATGTTCATATCTAGGCACAGTTATTTTGAGAAAGTACTTCTTCATCTAAAAAATCCATCTATGGGAAATGAAATCAATTTTCTAAAAGACCTTTCTTGATCGTTAGTTGGTCACATGAAAGTTTAGAAGTGCTTGACTGATGATTTCAAGGTGTATCTTTTGAATACAATTTGTTTTAGAACTATGTAATTACTTAAGTTCATGGATTTTAGGTTGCTTGCAACTTTTTGCCAAACGAAATGCCTACATTGTAGGAGTGTATATCAACTTTATACTCATTCAAAGAGACAGGAAAAAAGGGCACACTTCAATAATTTAGATATGCATTAATTTTTTGTCTTCTTTCTTTTTAAGACCTTGTCATGTTTTTAATTAGTGTTTATTTGTATGGACATTTAGGTCAGATTTTGCATCTGGATTGCATATGAAGTGATATACCAAGTGTGCATGTCATACCTCCCTAACTTTCAAATTGCTATCATAATATTTTACTTATTTTTATAGCTTTAAGGTTGATTGGGATTTGTATAAACTGTTAAGGACAAAGCAAATGGAGGAAAAAAATGTTGCAACAAATATTCTTATGTGCATAGCCTTGCAAACACCCAAGCCATAAATTTGTTTTCTAAATGAAATTATTGACTGTGACAATGAAAAATAGAAATAAGTTTTCCACTTCAAAAACCCTAACAACCTCATTAATTCTAAATTTCAATGGTTTCGGCAACCTATGTTACTTTAAGTGGGTATTTAGAGGGAAAACATTGCCTAAAAGTTTTACTATCTTTTAGTTAATATTTTTGGAAGCTGGGATGAAACATTTATATTTCATATATGTATATTTTATTGTGCTTTTGAATGTTTTCATCCAGTAAATCTGAGCATAATGGGGAGAAGCAAGATATGGAATCGAAATGCTTGTGTTGTGTATGTCTATTAGTATAATTGTGGGTTGGTTCAAATAATTTTATAAGAATACGAGTGTAGATTGCTTTAATAGGAAATTGACTAATAATAATTTTTTTTTTTTGTCTTGTCGGTTGAAGGATGTAAGTTATTATTTCATTTATTAAACGTCAAACGGACATGATAATGGTCATCTTAATTTTATTTCAACCAAATGAATACCTTAACAAAAGAAGGTAAAAAAGTTTTGAAACTCTAGAAGTTTAGATTAATTGGTGTGACATTACTGAGCGAAAGCGGCCGAAGAAAAACAAGATTAGCAACTGTCATGATTCCCTTCACGCTCCACACAGCCAAATGACTTTTACAAACTAAGCATTGCATTCTTATAATAGCTTATGTGTTCCTTGCTCATGACATAATAGCATTGCATTCATGTAGTTTTTTTTTTATTAACATTCTTAGAAGTTCTAGTATGGTCATTTAACTATAAATTGATCAAGTAATATTTTATTTTTAAAATAATACAAAAAAATTATAATTCGAAATAATTCACGTTTAACGCATGTGTGCATTAACTAGTAAAAATATAAATGAATATGTATAATCAAGCTAAAATAAAAATACAAATAAATGTGAAATTATTGTAATATAAATTAGTTAAATAATAAAGGCTACTTTATTTTTATTAAAATACTCCAACAATATGTGTATCACAACTATCAGATTAGTTTCTAATAAAATTATTGACCGTTTCTTAAAAATAAAAATAAAAAAGAGGGGGGCCGCAAGATCATTAATGAAATGTTCAATACCATTATTAACTTATAATTTGGTCATATATGGGGTTGTCCATGGGTCGGGTTGGCTCACAGGACCTATTACGCAATCCAAAATTCAATAGATTTGATAGTTGGCCAACCCGAATTCAAGCCGAATTCTCTACTATTTTACATAATATGCAATCTAAATGTAATAAATATTTCTCACCATTTTGTATTCTCCCAAGCAATCTAAATGCTATTTTTGATTTATCATTCATTATTTACTTTGCATTATTCATTATTCATTACTTTTTGAATAAAACATCTCTATATTATTTATTACTAAGGGTAATTCGTGCCTGAAAGTACGGTGCAACGTAAATCAATCGGTTAATTTGAAAAAAAAAATTATTTTTATTTGCTTTAATTAAATAAATTGAAATCAATATAGACATGTTGAAATTTTTT